CGATGGTCTATTTATAAGGTCAACATTCTTGGATGGTCACGATTAGAGGGTGGATGCCGCCCACGGCGACCATCCCGTGAGAAATTGGTCAGTAACATGATTAGACGCTGTCACTTATGTGGCTGCTATTGAAAAACAATATGAGGATAACAAGCTTACTCTACTTCAAGAAAGATAATTGTTCCCTCCCTGATCAGCTTCCCATTCTACCCGTCACCCAATATACACATCGTATAAAAACGCACAGGATCGCGAGGCCCCCAAACAAACGAGGGAAAGAAAAAATAAAAAATAAAAAATAAACAGGCGCTTATCGCGTCTAATGGTTGCGACAACGGCCTTCTCAACATTCACCGAACCAACCCGAACCGACTCGATCCCAACCTGACCCAACTGGGGGACGTCCTGAATCGAGTTGGCAGACACACAGGGATGGATTACCCAGGAAATCTAAAATCTCGGATGTTCCTATGGAACATACCTCCCATCAACTGTTACCCGTACGCCAGCAGTCCGTGCCAAGCACTCGCTGATGTTATTTTCCCTTCTATATATAAGCACCATACAGCCGTAAAAATAAAATAAAATAAATGCGCTAAGAGTATTTTCCATAGATGGGGTAATTTCTTTGTATTGGTTTTGTGTATTTTATCGTGCTGTGGGTGGGGGGGGAGGGGAAGTATAATGTAGGGCAGTGGCTCATTATCACAATATGATTGAGGATGAGGATATGTTTAAACTCTGATTGTTCACTGTGACATGCTTCGACAGGTGAGAACTTTAAAGGGTGAAAGCCGCAATTGTAAACGCGGGGCAATGTAGGCTGTGGTTCAGATATAGCGAGTGAAGATTTGCTTAGCCGTGCATCATAGCTGGAGAAAGACCTATATCAGGCCAAAAAGTAGCTCAGAAATAAACAAAGGGGATTTTATAAGGGAAATGGAAATTAAGAATATCTATTGCAACTGGAAAAAGGCAGGTGAGAAAATCGGAGGGTGATTATTTGTAAAGGGGGGCAACTAGGGACGCAATTAAGTTCAAGATGATATCCAAAAAGACCCCCAGGGGTCTAATGTCAACAAGCAAAAGGAAAAATTATATATATATATATATATACTACTAGAGAACCCCCAAACGGCCCGCTAACCGATCACTGACCCCCATTTTACCCTGCAGTCCTTTTTGGCATTTCCAATCGCGGACAAAAAAGGAAGAAAGCCGCAAAATAATAATAATAATAACAACAACAACAACAATAATAATAAACATGGAGTAAAAGAGACAAGAGAGCAGAAGGGTGGGAGGATATATAAAATTAATATATAGGTAAATAGACACAGGGTGATGAGAAAGGATAAAAGAGCAATCAAACCAGGCAAGAAAATCTAGGGCAAAATGTCAATAAGGGGTTGGGGGGGAGGGAACATGGTAATCTTGCGGCGGCCCTGCAATCAATTCGCAGCCAACACGGGCCCCCTCCGTGCACAAGGGGGGAGTTATTTGTTGTGATTCCCAAATTAGATTAATAAACCATTCAAATGCCCCACGTTGACCTAGATCCATGCATGACTAGGGGGATTAGTTTATAATTGCATCGTCGCATAAGCCAAAAACACTTTCCAAGAGGAGGAGCTGTCAGGATTCCAGGGAAGGAAAAAAAAAAAAAAAAAAAAAAAAGGGTTTGCCGTCAGGGTGGTAGGTCGGAACTGGCGTTGGCCAGAATAAGGGAGGGGATCGTTTGGTTTGTCTTCACGCAGCAGCAGTTGGGAGACTGGTCTTCCCTCGGACACACATGCACTCGCTCACACCCGCAGCATCACTCCCCGACTTCCCACGCGATACACATTCCGATCCGTTTAGGCGCCCACGCGCGAGGCCTTACGACGCAGGAACCATCGGTACAGGAAGAGGATGCAAAGACCGGCGCCAATGACGAAGAGAATACAGAAAACCAACATAACACCGACATTTCTGCGGGGCCAGTTGTTTCTCTTGGCAATGTGGGAGACGACGTCGCGGGTGTCCAAGCTGATGGCGGGCATTGTGATAGTTCTGCTTTGCGCACGGGGCGGTGTTTTCCTTTTTTGAGCGCGACTGATTGATGGATCCTTTGAGAGACAGGCGATTCGGCGAATATTGGCTCTAGCTACTGTCTTGGCGTTTGCGCACCAATTGGAGTTGGCTCTTCTCGGGAGGAGGAAAGAGTAGAGTAGAGGGTATCTGGAGGTAATTCCGAGGGCGGGAGGCTTGCCGTGGCCTGGACGCGGAAATAACGGGTGAGGTTGGCGTATGGTTGTCTAGAGGAGGATGGACAGGATAGGAAGGTATATTGAAGAGCGAGTCAAGAGGAATTACTCTTCGACTCTTATTTTTGTTTCTGGTGCCGGTGGTATCAGAGCTGGTCCAATCCAGTCAGTATCATCAGCAGATGGAAAATGCTGTATGAAATTGCCGCAAAAATGCGGTCGCAAAGAAATCACAAACTATGATGCAAGAAAGCCCAGGTTGCCAGAAGACAGACCAAAATGACGGGTTATTTCCATCACCCAAGATGAGGGTTTGAGAGAACCTCTTGGAGGGGTTTGCTTGCGTGCGCGGGCGCAGATCGCAGGGTCATCATAGCTTCGGGTGGAGCAGGGGAAGAGCAACTTACGGGGTGTGTGACTAGAGGAAAGGGATTCGAGGAGACAGCACCTCAATTGAAGCAGACAACGGATTGGGATCACGCTGATAGCAGAGACGAGAGAACGGGGGAGGTTGAGGAGAACGCGAGCAGAAGATGAGGAGGAGGAGGAAGAGGAAGAAGAGAAGAAAAAAGAAGCAGTGGGGAAACAGGAGGGAAGAAAAGCGAAGAAGCGGGAGAATACGCCGGTATATGTGGATACGCAGCTAGCGGCTCCGGGCTACGGGAAACCTGGGCAACAAGCAGTGGCTGTGAGTGTATGTATGTATGTATGTATGGTATTGTGGGAACGGCCTTGGAACTGTAAATACAGTGGAGCCCCCCCCCCGACTGTGGTTTACCGAGAGTGTAATGGGGCCCGGCCACGGGTATCCAGCCTGGGTTGACAAATACAGATAGACAGAGACGGGTCGTATCGCACCTGTCATGACACTTGGGGCGGGCCCGAGACAGATCCACAACAAGGAACCTGGGAAAATGGAAAAAGATTCTAACTCTAACTCTAAATCTCCGCAATCTGACCCTTGTAGCTACATCGTCATCAATCACTTCGTTGTTTTCTGTTTCGTGCTCCGTTCGACCCCGCATCAACATTTTCCAGTCACTTTCAGAACCCTACTGTCACAAGAATACTTTACATACGCACCGCCGCACCGTTCCTTCTGCCCGTATGCAGCTGTTGTCTGTTGTCGATGTCTTTCATCCCCACGAACCCCACGGGTTATGGCAGATCACTGTGATGCATTGTTGATGACCTAGTGATAAGAGGGATAATTGAGCAGACAGGTCCCTCGGATGGCTACTGGGAAATCCATTACCCCGAAGGAGAATAGCCGAGATGGTGCCCGTGTCGGCGGCGGCATGGTGTCTTATACATAATAAATACACCAGCAGCAGCAGCCTTGACCTGCGCCTGCATCATCCATCCGCCTTTCCCCCCTCGCCTCTCATTCTTCGAGGGCCCACCGCAAAGATAAAGACAAAGCTCTACGTATAGTGTATTCCTGCTCTTGCTCAGCTGCCGCCTGCCGACGTCATAAATACCGTCCACACCGTCCATACTCCTTTCGGCATCAAGAGAAGGAGAGCTGGGCACAGGCAGGAGGAACCCATTGAACAGCTGTGTGTTGGTAACTTCACAACCGAAGGGTCTTTCTTATTCTAATCATTGGACCTCGACCCTTACAACGGAGTGATGAGCTAGCAGCGATAGGCAACATATGTAGCAATGATGATACATGCCGTGTCTGCCTTCCAATGCGACTCTATCCCCCTCTCACCTGAGTCCGACAGGTTGTGTCTGCCCGTGCCAAGAAGGATCAAGCTTTGTCTTGGGCAGGGTCCGCGGCCCGCGGCTCCAACCCTGAGGAAACAGCGGGCGGATACAGCTGCTGTCGCTGGTTTATGTATCCAGACTGTCTACCTGTGGAAAGGGTTGATTTCCAGTGGGGCTCTGGATAACTATACATAGCTGTACTATGAATTGAATTCAATTTTGGCTGCTGCATTCGAATATCTCGTTTCGCTCGCCGGGAATTAGGAGGGTTGCTGATTTGAAGGTCCTTGTTCAATGGATATATACAAGCATGGCGCCTGTAAGATAACTCCGAGGCGATCTTGAACCGCCATCACAATGCATTGCTCCGCATCAACAGCGGCCGATTTACGTGGGGTGAAGGGAAACAAACATGCATGTCACATGTTTTCGCTTCGCTGCGGCCTACCTCCACCGACTCAGCCTGTCGATTTATAGCACATCTTGGAAAGCTAACTCAGTTAACTACTAGACCGACCTTTTTGGGGCCTCGTTCTCACTCCAGTAGCCTGATAGAGAAAAAAAAAAAAAAAAAAAAAAAAGAAAAGAAAAGAAAAGAAAGAAGAAAGACTTCTCTCTTGACTTACTTGGGGATAATTTTTGAGTGCTGGTGAAATCAGCCTGTCAGCCGCCACGCTGATCCCTCCCATCCAAACCAGTGGCGCAGCATCATGCAGGGCAGGCAGCGATGGCTCCTGCGTCCCCCTCTTTTGACTCATCCCACTTTCACTCTGTAACTGGTGAGGAGTCCATTTCGTTCCTGGAGCTGGTTAGCCTTTTTTATTACCAAGCTGAGAATATATATATATATACGAGCATCATCTCGCGTGGATGCTGCAACTTTGAGATGGCCATCATGTAAATTCCCTCTCGCGAACTTATCCACTGGATACGCTGGGCTACTCAATCTGCGCTGAACTCTATTTCTCGAGTTATTCCGCGAGTTGCTTGCGATTCTCGAATGTGCATGAGTTTCGGAAGCTGAGTCTAGCACCGAACAATATATACTGGATGTCATGCATGAAGAATGGGTTGACGTGGGGCCCGCCAGTGGTTCTGATCTCTTCACTCGTCCAAATGAACACCCGGTCCAACGATGGCAGAGCGACATCCACACGGATCCCTTCTATCAGAAGATGTCAAAACGCGCGGCTGATCTTTTAACCTCCCGTTGTCCAGCACCTATTTTTCATACCAACATGGACGGCATCAAGATGAACGCTGTCTTCGAGAATGCACTCTCGCCAGAGAACCGTCAAGAATTCAATTGCCGCGCATGTGCCCATTTCATGAATAAGTTTGGAGACCTGTGCCTCGTCGACGAGTCAACAGGAAAACTGATCCCCCTGTTCTGGACTGACAATGTGCAGTCCCTCCCAGGGATTTTTCAGGACCCTGTCAAGGCTATTAACCAACTCTTTGACGGTCGAACAGTGGGAAGGGAGTTCAGAATCACCAAAGAACGATGCCGTTATCTGGGAGTCCAGGAGAAAGGGGGCTTCAAGCACATGGCGTTTGATCTCCCGTCTTGCCGATCTGAGATTCTTCCAGCCGCCGTGGCACGCACCATGCCTCCCACGAACGAGCAGAGGGAAATGCTGTGCCGCATCCTGAACGACTATAGCCGGGAAACTGTTCGTAGGGTAGCAAGCTTGTTACAGGAGAACCGCCTGCCCTACGCTGATGCCCATAAAGGCGCTATTTCATGGCTTCTTGATGTGCAAAAGGCCAGGGGCGTACTGATAGACTCTGATACCACTAGCGCGACGGAGCGACATAACATCCAAACTCACGTCGCAGCATCGGCTTTCATTGGGTGCTTGCATCAGCTGCGTTCCGGGGCTCTTTCGAAATTACTCGATGGCGTCCAGGAAGGTAAGCCCTTCAATGAACAGGAACGACAGTGGAGAACACTGTGTGATCCAACCATGTATATGCGTCCACAGCAGCCTCCGAAGGCGGGCAATATTGCCGTAGCGGAGAAGCTGTTCGCGGAGCTTGGCCTGACAAAGGATGACATGCGCCGGAAGTATCTGACACCATCTCAAATTCCCGACGAAGTGTACATGTATCGAGAGACCCAGGCAAGCCTGCAGACACCCAAAGACAAGAGGACTATGGTAACACGGGGTATCTTCGCGGGCGTGGTTCCAAGGTCTCTCGTCCCAAAGTTGATGGCAAGGGGATCCGAAAATTCGGCAGAGATGGATCCCCCCAAATCCATTTCCTTCTCCAACTTCATTCGCACTGTCCTACCAACTGCTAGGCGAGTTGAACTCCAGATCAAAGCGGAGGAGTATCTCTACTTCTTTATCACCGGCCACCCTGACTCCAAGCCATTGATGCAATGGCACACGGCAGATAATCTCATCAGCCCGTACACCTTCACAAGGCCAGTCGCCACAATCCAATACAATCTACCCTCTGGATGGACGCGAGTTAGTGCGATAATTCCATTCCCCCATCTCTGGGACTCTCTACCAGCAACCAAGACATTCCCTTTGGCCGCCAGCGACTCGACTGAATTCAACCACCAGCACCGCAAACATGGCTTTACGTACCTCCTTTGTCTCAACGGCATCCAGGCAACAAAGGACAAGATGGGCCTGTGTCTGTTCCCGTCAATGCTCAAGTCGGAATTTCACCCTGTTCGAGCTACCATTGAAGCATATAGCCATGATGGGGAGATTGATCGGGAGGACGGATGCGATTATGTGGGTGGGATCTGTGTGAGTCGCTCGAGTAGCCCGCACACCAAGCGTGTTTATCGGGTGACCGACATGGAGGGGGATAGAAGGCTGTATGAAACAGCGCTGTTCGAGTAGAGGTTTTTTCATGTTTATTTTTTTCATAATTTTTTTTTTTTTGGTGCATTTTCTATTCCCTTTCAGGTGCTTTCCCATCTCGTTTGCACGAGCAACCGCCTTTGGATTGAGTTCCTTAATGTTCGTAACCGATGGTTTAACCCGGGGAGCTTGCATGCCTGTACCCAATAGCCATTCGTAAACAAACCCGTTTGAATTTGGGGTTGTTGTGATCGCCGCATGTGGCTGCTGTGGAAAGCGAATAGTTTCAACGTGTTGGCTGAAACTAAGAGGCCCCTCTGGAATTTCAATTCTGTTCTCTCCATCTTACATTTTCGCTTCCTCACCAGAGGCAAAACTCGGAAAATAAAAATAAAATAAATTAGAATAAAAATGAAATTCATCTCGCTCTCTCTTATGGTCATCCCGGTCATCGCAACGCCCATCCTGGCTATTAACGGCCGGTGCGATGCGAGATCCCAATGGGGTTCGCGCCCGGACTGCATATGCATCGATCACAACGTGTGCACAAACAAATACCGCGGATATGCTGTCCAGGGCAGCCCGGGGAACTGGCCATGTCCCAGGGACGGAGCCAATGTCTGGGGCTGCATGGTCGGCCGGCCTTGCGTGACGAGGGATTCTTACTGTGGGTGGAGGAGTGTGTGCACTGGCACAGGGCCATATGCAGGGAGGGTATTGCCGAGTAAGATCCTTTTCTTTTCTCTCCCCGGGTGTGATGGATGTATTGTTTGCGGGAAGCAGGTTTGCTAAGGTGTTGTTGCTGTTGTTGTTGCTGCTGTAATTACTATCTAGCTCCTGTGTGACCCGGTGGAAATGATTTTATTTGCTGCGACAGACATGGTTCATAGGGGTAGGAGTCTACAGTTGGGGATCTCTTGGATTTTTGAGACTGGCTGAGAGTGGTTGGATGATATTTAAAACAACGTTTCTGTACTGAGTAGCTTGACTTGAATTAACTAACGGTTGTGCCTTTGTGAGTTCACCTTCAGCAGGCGTGCAAGTTCGCCACGATAGCCCGAAAGGAAATCCACCGCAAAACAGGATTCACCTTCACGTCTAGCTAGGTTATTAATTTGCTCGAACATGTTATCGGAAGAATTTAGTTAGATCTTAGAGTTAACTGCGCAAGGCTCGCTCCCTTATCCTCAAACCGCCCTTCCCATCACCCTCTCGCTCGACATTGTCGTAGATCAGCAGCTTCCGACCTGCGCTTCTAATTGATTGTGAGCCGATCGGGTGTAAAACACTCTGTTTCATCTGCCGCCAGTGGTCTTCGGCAAGGCGCGGTTTCAAAGAGCATTATCACTATCACTTCGACAACCCAGAGGCCCTAAACTCTCTGTCGCTCGGTCAAATGATGAATGAGACACTATATAGCAGCCTCGACAACAGTGGGCAGATTGCTTGCAGAGGTCCCCCATTGCCATCTAACTTCAGTCGGTTCGGGGGCTTCAGTGTCGATAATGAGAACTTTCACTTCATTCCGATGCCCAGAGAATGCACCGGCTTCAAAAAAGAAATGAAGCACGGCCAGCAGAACTTGCCACATGCAGAGAATGACCGCGCCAAAATCGCGGTCCTGATTTCTGCATCTTCACCACCAAAGATTTTAAATGGAATTTCGCAGACATCCATCAGCCGTCGATGCTCAATGGGGGTGTATCAAACGTCGAGAGCGGAGACTCATCACAGCGGGCCGGACGAAGGAATACCCAGCTCAGTATGTGCGACGCCAAATCACTCGGTCTCACCCGACAGCTGCTTTGAAGGCCACTGTGGCCAGAGCATAGATGAATCCTGCTGTTCTTCCCCAGCCAACATCATCATAATGGGCGTGTCTTGAGACATAGGAGAACCCATGAAGCTAAGGACCGGCACACGGGACGCATGATGATGATGAAAGACATAATTCATTGGCCAATGATAGCTAGCTCATCTTTGCCTCACCTGGACGGAAGATTTGTTCAAAGGGTATTGAAGAAAGTCCTCCATCTTCGTTTAGTTATCCCGCCAAAAAAGGGCCCCAAGGCGCAGTCAACTACGGAGATTTGCCGTGTGTGGAGCAAAGGAAAGGGATATATGTATGCCAGTTCCTCCCCTAATCCGTATGTTGCTTAGGGCATCAGACTTAATTTCGTGGCGTTCTTAGGGGCTCCGCATCCAGGGTTCCTACAGGCATAGCTGCTCAACACACCACCCCGGCCTTGCTCCCGTTTCAAGCCCATGATGACGGCTCCATACAAAGTTGAATTAAAGAGGATACGCAACGACTGACGGCAAGTCCCCATATCCTCCTCAATCACCGGCAGCAGCGGATGTGGGGCAATCTGCCTCGGTTACGAGTCCTCAGTCAGGAGATATAAACGGCTTCTGCCAGTGGGTTTGGGTGCAAACCTCGTATTCATGGTGCAAGAGCCTAAGCTCTTGAGCAAACATCAATGAGCTTGCCCAATCATTTCTGGTTTTGGTTCTCGTTTTACCCCCCTTCGTTGCTATTAAATGGGGTCAGGAACGACAAGTTTTGACGTTAAACCTCATTTTGAACTGGTCAAGACCTGTCCGCATTGACAATTGGATATATATCCAGACCCACGCAAATGAATATTAAAAACGGAGAGAGGAGCCTCACTGAATAAAGGTTAGTTTATTTTTCCTTTTCCCTCTCACGATGACAAGACTGGAGTATTATTTCTTTCCGCTCCGATAAAACGCCTTGGATAGCTGTGAATAAGGACTTGTTGTCTCAATGGCGAAGCTTCTGTCTGTTGCCGCGGTTTCCCTGTTATGCCTTTTTGCGCCCGTGAGCGCTCAGGAGAACCTTGAGGATGAAACTGCTCTTTCAGCCGCTGAAGTCCTGGGGAATGGGGTTTCCCCCGCAAGTCCGTTGTTTTCACGCAACATATTGGATTCTCGACAAACATATAGATGTGTGGACGCCGGATATTACCCATGCTCCCGTATGTTTATGACCCCCGTGCTTCCCAATTTTATTATTATTATTATTATTATTATTATTGTTGTTGTTGTTGTTGTTGTTGTTGTTGTTGTTGTTGTTGTTGTTGTTGTTGTTGTTGTTGTTGTTGTTGTTGTTGTTGTTGTTGTTGTTGTTGTTGTTGTTGTTGTTGTTGTTGTTGTTGTTGTTGTTGTTGTTGTTGTTGTTGTTGTTGTTGTTGTTGTTGTTGTTGTTGTTGTTAGTAAAAGTTGCCGAATAACACTGACAATAGTTAGATCAACGTGGCTGCTGTAGATCCGGATGGAGCTGCTGTCCGACCGATTGTTGTCCGGCTGGCACAACCTGCTGTAATGGCGGCGGTTGTGTCTATCCGGGCGGAGAGTGCTGTGGGGACGGCTTCTCTTGCCGTGCTGGCTCTAAGTGCTATAAGCTCGGTGGAATCTGGAGATGCCGAACTCCCTGCCCGCCTGTAATCACTGTCACAGCCACCATCACGCGGACTAGAATCAGAGAATCGACTACGACGACAACACGGACTATCATGCCGCCACCGGAAGAACAGCCATCGGGATTCACCTGTCCCCCAATGACCGTGACAAATTCGGTGGGCGACTCCCTTGAACTTGGCAACGATTGTGCTCTCAAGTTCTCCCCTGCGGAAACGGCTAGTGTCACTGCGACAGTAGAAATGCTGAGAGTGAGGCAAAACATATGCCCGCCCACTCGCACAACGGCAACGGTCTATAAAACTATAGGCACGAATGATGTGGCAACAATAACTGCGACTGTTACTGCAGAGAACTCCCCTCGGCTTGATTTCACCTGCCCCCCCATGACGGCAACGAATTCGCTGGGTGATGAGCTGGCTATGGACGACAAGTGTTCGCTGCAACTGTCCTTGTCAGAGCCGACGGAAACCCGCAAGCCCAACGCCGCTGGGAGAATTGATATGCTCGGGATGTCGCATTGTGCACTATTGGGAAGCATTTTCGCGTTTCTAGTTGGTCTGTATGCGTAAAGGATATTATTCCCCGACCAATACTAGTAGATATAATCATAATTTAACGGAATATATCGCGAGCCACAATGTAAATCAGAAGACATTGTTCATGTTCGTTTTTTCTTTCGAGCAGATATGTCTCAGGATAGGGAAGAATAAAAAGGGGGGTGTTGTTCTATATCACTGGATCAATCCGTCGAATATCACCGAAAAGAGCCAATGCCTCATCTTTCGGATGGGACGACTTCTACACCCACTGCCATGGAACCGCATGTGCTGTACTCTTCACGACTCACACCTAACTATGGTCCCAACGATTCCGCCGGCTGGAAGCCAGCTAATTCCGGGACAGAACCCATGGTAAGCGTCGACACAGAACTTTTGCGGATGCCAGGCATTATCTGATCAAGCAAGACGACGCTCATAACCCAGCCCGACAAGCGGAACGCCGTTTAGAAAATCAGAGCAGCCGCCATTGCGGACTGGGGTGTAACAAAACACATGGATCTCTTGGGAATGTATAAGCAAAACATATCGTGGAATTCTGAACCAGCAAAGCTTGCGTCCTCGGAGCTGAGCTCTTCCCACCCGGGATTTGCTCCGTCCAGGATTGCGGGGGATTGCGGCCTTGATGCTGATCGAATCACTGGCATTGTTGTTGTGGGCCAATCGAGGACAGTCATTTTATGATTCCGCAAGTAACCATCATTGTTGCCCCACTATTAACTAACTACCCACCACGGCAAAGATGATGTCGATGGCGGGGTGGTATTATGATTGAGTGAACAAGCCAGCTTCCGGCCAAACCAACAGAATATCTGTCGGGATACAATGCATGTCCGTCCCTCTGTCACAAGAGATAACTGGATGGCTATGGCTGATACTTATCGGCTGACTGGAAGTCATGAAAAATGCCAGACGCTGCTCATTTAATCCTGCTATGACTGAAATTTCGAGGTGAGGGGTTTGCGCTAGTTCTCTGCGTTGTTATTGTTGTTGCAGATGAACGCCCCCGCCCCCGGGAGGTGCTATGTGACTATGTCGATCAGGGTGAGGATTCCTTGTCATTTACGAGAGACAACAGTTTGCGTGTCCATATTTTGTTGACTCACTCCCACCTTGTGCGTTGTTAACTAAAGCTAACCAAGGGGTGTAATCGACGTGGTTAATATAAGTATTTTCCGCTTCCCCTGCCGCTCTCTCCTCGTTAGCTAAATCTAAGAAAGACAGTCAACAGGAAAAGCGAGACCGATAAAGGTTTCCGGCATATATTACACTCCAAGATCCACGATGTCTACTGAGAAACCGTCGATAGGCTTTGTCGGCCTTGGTCTCATGGGCTTTGGCATGGCCACCCATCTCATCGAATCAGGATATCTCGTCAAGGGATATGATATCTCAGGTCCAACTATGGCTCGCTTCAAGGCTGCGGCGGGGCAGATCGCCTCGTCTGCTGGGGATGCTGCCAGCGGAAATCTGTTCTGCGTCTGCATGGTTGCTACCGCAGCCCAGGCGCAGGCTGCGATTTTTGACCATGAACATGCCATTGCAAAAGGTAATATGCTCTGCTCTTTCCGTACCTTACTCCCGCATTATTTCCGACTTATTTTGGCCCAATTGCTAATATGTCGCTATTCATATCACAGCTCTCCCCAAGGGTGCCACCCTCATCCTATCTTCCACCGTCCCTGCCGTCTCCGTCCAGTCATTCCGTGATCAACTGGTAGCCATTGGCCGCAAAGACGTCTATTTTATTGATGCACCGGTGTCAGGCGGGGCTAAAAAGGCTGGAGAGGGCACCCTGTCCATCATGGCTGGCGCCTCGGACGCAGCGCTGGAAAAAGGCAAATTCCTCCTTGCAGAGATGGCCGATACTAATAAGCTGTACATCGTCCCAGGCGGGATTGGTGCGGGCAGTAATATGAAAATGGTCCACCAGGTTCTTGCTGCTATCCACATTCTTGCTGCAAGTGAAGTTATGGGCCTTGCAGCCATGCTAGGACTCAATGCTGAAGAGGCTGGTGAGGCGCTTACGTCCTCTGATGCGTGGAGTTTTATGCATGAGACTCGCTGCGAGCGCATGCTGGTGGAAGATTACTTTCCTGGTTCAAGCGCGATAACAACTATTCTGAAAGACGCGGTATGTTCCTAACTTCCCACCACACTCATTTCAATCCCAAGCGGTTCCCAACTTGATTACCCAGGGTATCGTCACCGCGGCCGCTCGTCTTCACAACTTCCCTACCCCACTCTGCAGCATCGCGGAGCAAATCTTCCTCACCGCCCTTCCCCTAGGCTTTGGCGGGGACGATGATGCCAGCGCTGTCCGCCTCTACTACCGAGGCCCTCTCATCAAAGCCGAGCCAAAAGCGTCCTTAAACCCTCAAACCAACTCCACGGCTCTAAAACTAGTTGTCAACCTGCTCACTAACATTCACCTCGTCGCCGCCGCTGAAGCTATTGCTTTCGCCCGCTTTCTCAAGGTAGATCTACCGTTATTCTACGACGTTGTCAGTGCGGCCGCGGGCGGTAGCACGATATTCAAAGTCCGTGGGGCGGAGATGATGACCGGGCTGAAGGATGAAGGGAGCAGGAAGAGCAATAAAACAGTGAACGAAGCAGCAATGGAGCTTGCTGCGGCGGTGCAGGCAGCCAGAGATGTCAATTGCCCGCTTCATTTGGGGAATGGGGCGCTAAATTTGCTGTATTTGGCGCAGAATCAGGGACTGGGTGACAAGGCTGACGCTTTTGTACTGAGGGTTTATGAGAACGAAACGTGATTGAGTTTTTTTTTTTTTTTTTTTTTTTTTTTTTTTTTTTTTTTTTTTTTTTTTTCTTTTGGGTGGGGGTAGATTGACATTGGTCTTTCGTCTAATATGTCAGTTCTCAATGCCCCTTTTTCGTTTCACTAAATCTCCATCAGGACGATTTGGCGTAACAGATCAGAATGTTGAACAGAACGTTTATGGTTTGCGAAATCAGTCTTACCAAACTGAAGTTTCGCGTCAATGGGTGCCTTTTTCTCTCTTCTCTCCTCTTGCAGTCTGGAGGTATAAGAATAGAAATAAACGAGCTTTTCACCACCCAGCCATATCATACACAGAGAGCTCTATATACATCCTTGTGTCCGTGTAAAATAGCAACTCCCCCAATCCCATCACTTGGGATATCACATCTTCCTCTCGTCCGAATATTCATAAGTGGAAGCAGTCCAAAACTTCACACCCCATACACCAACTTCTGCCCACTAACTTTATTCTTCCTCATTAACTCCCACCCAGCGGGTATGGACTCAAAGCCACCCTCTTTAAGCAGCACCCGATGCGCCCTTACCTTCCCCTCCCACACCAGCTTCTCCGCAACCCCCGCGAACCGCTTCGCAAACTCATAGTCCTCCACACTGGCGGGGAATGACGTGGAACCCATCACAAAATATTCATTAAACACAGTATACCCAACACGGAGGTCACTCTCAACGTCCTTCCGTTTGGACTGCACAGGCAGAGTTGCCATATACTTGCCACCCGATCTGGAGGAGAGGGCGTCGCTGCACACAGCAGCTGTTTCGACGCTGCCGATGGTGTCATAGGCCAGGTGCAGGTCGTTGTTTGTGTATTCGCGGATCTTCTTCCCGACGTCTTTGACGTGGTAGTCAAAGGCAATTCTTGCCCCTAGCTCTTTGACGTACGAGAAGTTGCTAGGGGAGCATGTTGTTATGACGGTGTAACCAGATCTAGATGTGAACGTATCACCTCGTTACGTTGCCGTTTTTGAGATGGTTAGTTATCCTGTCATTCTTCTCGAGCCCCTGCAGCAATGGCAAAACATACAGCTTCGCAAATTGAATCGCCAACGCCCCCGTCGCCGAACTACCGCCATATATTAGCAGTGGCACGGCTTCCTTCACCGGATCATCTGGCCACGACAATTGCAAGCTCCCCTGATACAGCCCCTGACCGACGGTATACAAACCCGCCGGCATCGTCGCAGCCTGATCCATGGGCAACGACTCAGGCACTCGAAACAGCAGATCCCCCTTGGTAATTACATGTTCCGCAAATGACCCCGTGGTTGGGCGCACTCTGTTAAACCCATGGTTGAAACCCATGATTTTCTCGCCCTTGGTGAATTTCTTAGTGACGGCAGACCCGACCTCTTCGACCGTCCCTGAGAAGTCGCAGCCAGCCAGTGCGCCCGGTGCAGTGGAGAGATTTTTCCAATCTGTAGGATTGAGGGCAACATAGGCGGTTTTAGCAAGGACATAGTCTGCCGGTAAGGGTGGTATGGGGTAATCGGTTTTAAAAAGGGGTTCGCCATTTGGCCCATCGATGAGAGCCTTTTGAGTTTGTTGGCTCGTCATCCTTGTTGTGTGGCCTGAACTTTTATTTATTTATTATTTTTATTATTATAATTTTTTTTTTAATCTGGTTTCTTCAATAATTTCGGATATGGAGCCTGTTATTTTTCGTCAACTATTTATGTCGGATTTTCGATTTGCAGAGAGGTTACCTGGTTATTCCACGAGAGCTTTAATGGCAGCAAAGACATATATATCCCCTTGCTGAAAAGTTTCCGAAGAATAGGAAGCACTGTATTTATATACAACTCGGTTGCAGTTATGTAGGCAAATCCTTTGAATAAGAATATAAAGTGACGGCATTGTTGAAACTACGAAGTGTTTGTAGAGCTATGACATAGATTCTTCGCCTCTCACCTCATCTAGGGCTGTGACATCACTCCAAGGTTCAAGATATCAACGTCAAGCCGAAATTTAAGGTATTTCAATTCCCTAGGTGGAGGAGCCTTCCCGGAAAGCATAATTTTCAGTAATAAATTGTTTCTTGAAAAGTCCATGGAGATATCCCCGGCGATACCGGATATAATGAACCAAGGGACCTGTAAAACTAAACGAACCACCTCACCAAATAATATATTGTATAAACGGCTTTTAAAGGATTTAAGAATGCTATTGCCGTAAACACGATTCAACTACTAATCACGTTGACAGGCTGTGGATCGCAGAGGCTGAAAGGAAATGGTCAAACTCCACTGGCAGCCCCGACGAATTCGCAAAGGCAACATAGCTATCTGGGCGCATGAGATATGCACCATCTCGAGCGAAGCCTAGGTTTCCATACTCTGGCATCCAGTCGAAAACATCCAGCACAATCCCCTTTTCTTCGCACCACTCAATCATCTCGTCCTTCGGTATGCCGTAGACATGCACCTGCCAAGCGATTGCGGACAGAGTTGCAAAGTTGTCAATGCCGTTCGCAGTCGTATAAGGAAGACGGTCGCCGCCATGCACCCAGCCAGCGACACCCCCTACCCATTCTGTTCCGCGGTAGGTGATCTGCGTTTGTGATACAATTTTGAATAAATACTTCAGAGCTCCAGGTATCCGTGGCACAATAGGGAGAATCAACGGAAGGAGGTACGTGCGGAAGATATCCGCAAAGCGCCCCTTGGCCGTCGACATGGAAAAGCCCTGGTCAGTTCTTTTTATCAGTGTGCGCGCAAATGGAATACGCTCTGCTTCGTAACTGTCAAGCAGCGACTCGTCTGCCTGGCCTTTCACTATCGCTGCCAATTTCCAAGCCAGGTTGATGGCATCGCCAATTCCTGTATTCATTCCTTGCCCGCCCAACGGGCTGTGGATGTGTCCAGCATCACCGACCAGGAAAGCCCGACCAATGCGAAAGTGGTTTGCCACGCGGTGGTGCACGCGATATGTGGAGAACCAGTTGACATTTTCTACGTTGATCTTCAACGCGTCCATGGCGGCGCCAGATACATCTTCAAACGTGAGCGCTTCAGAAGGGACATCCGGTTTGTCGTTGACGATCCCCACAACTCGCACACGCGAGGTTTCGTCATAGGCAAATACGAGGAAGAAATCAGACGAGTGGATACTGACGTTCACCTCTCCATTGACGACGGGTCCATTTGCTTCGATGTCTGCGACGTAGAATAGCTGCTCGTAGGTCCCGCCGGGGAAACTGATGTCAATCCCACGACGCACTGTGGACGACGCACCATCACAGCCGACAATATAGAGTGCTTCGCAATTCTCTTCCATTTCCAGGGTGTCATTGTGACGGAGATTGTACGAGACGTAATCTCCATGGTCGGTGAAATCTACCAATTCCGTATTCCGCTCAACCTTGACACCACCAGCCTCTAGCAGCTTCTCCTCTAGCAACTTTTCATGCGAGTCCTGGGGGTATATGAAGACGAATGGGTGAGGAGTGACTCCTTGCCCAACATCACTAATAGGGATCCGCACCCTGTGTTTCCCTTGCACCCAGACGTTTGCTGCTGAGGCTTTCCTGCCCCCGGCAAGCACGGCGTCAGTTAAGCCTAATTTCTGGTATAATTCGAGCGTGCGGGGGTGCATGACGACGGCGCGTGAATTGGAGGCTTTGAATTTTCCTTTGTCAATTATCCGCAGTTCCACGTTCTGCTTTCTCAACCATGATGCCAGCACGAGACCCGAAGGCCCGCTGCCCACAATGAGCACGGGAGTGCGAGTCATTTTAGTGTCGATGCCGGTAAATAGAACGGATAAAAGCGATGTTCGTCCCAGTGGTGGAGGAGATTACTTGAGAAGAACGCAGTCAAGTTGTCGTGCCAGGCCTTATTTTCTTTCTTTCTTTCTTTCTTTCTTTCTTTCTTTCTTCTTCTTCTTTCTTCTTCTTTCTTCTTCTTCTTCCGGGTCTGAGCAGTTGTTGACTGATTCCTTTATTATATACACAGCAGCTGGAGACGTCCACGGGCCGAATAAACAAGCAACAAGCGACGGCCGGGGAAAGGTCAGCCCCGACATGCCGAGTCTGCCTTCCGTTTCAGCCGCATGTCAACAAGCCAACTGGGATCTGAAGAGAGTGAGTGAGTGAGTGGGTGAGTGAGTGAGTGAGTGAGTGAGTGAGTGAGTGGGTGAGAGGGTGAGAGGGTGGGCGAGGTTGTGTTTAGAAGAAGAGGTCTGTCTATACATATGCGAGTAACTGTGTCAATGGCTTGTCAGCTGGGTAGAAAAATAAATCCAGAGTGCCGTCGGATGAGATAACCAGTCTAACTAAATTAGCAGTTGCATTGACGTTCAGACAAACAAACATCACCCTTCACCCTTCATTGTATGTCGATTGTCAGAATGTTAAGTTCTGCAGTCTGCCTGCTCCGTAAATCCATGCTGCTGTTCCATATACACGAAGATGAGCGAAATAACTAACCCAGCTAACCACCTAAACCTTTTAAAAAGCATTTGGTTGACCAAGTTACAGAGCAATCTTCATCCTCTCTCATAACTTCAAATTCTCCTGAACTGCTCATCGTGAGGCCGGTCTATTTGGATGAACTAGTTACTCCGTATCTCGTTTCCAACTCAATTATGACCTCTGCTCGCATTGACAGTGCGTGTTTATGTATTTCGCATGGATTCTTGCTGCCAATCATGGCGTCCTGGAGCTGCCAGTCTCCCGTGTGCTCTGCTCCACCTCTCACCCGTCTTTCAAAGTCCACAGCCTATATATGAAGTTATTGCTGTCCCTCATTGCCTGCATATTGTTGCATCCTCCAACGAGATATGAACTCGACCAACTTGCACCAGGATAGAGCATCTCGAGTCCTCCCAGCTCATCCAGCCCATATCTGATAAAGATCAGGGGTTCGAACATCATCTGGTATACCGTGAAGGGAGCCATGGCTATAAAGCCTCACCGGCGGCGAAATGGAGACCATCAAGGCATCGCATTCCGCCACGGATCTCGAAGGTAGAAGAATCCCTCCCTCCTTTGTTGACTTGAAAGGGGTTCAATTGACCTTCCTTGTAACCCGAGTAAATCCCATGGTCCATAAATGCTAACCCGAAATCCTACTTTTCCTGCTCAATCTTCGACCTTGTGGGGGGGGGGGGGGGGGCCAGCTGCTCGATTTTTATTTGGAAACCGGGTGTGCGGCTAGCGAACCCCCCCAGAGCACGCACAAGTTTCGCTGTACCATGATCTCACCGACGAACCCACTTCGGAAAAACGCTTGGTCAGGCTCTGACTTGGACTACGTGGAATGGCCCGTGAGTGGATTGGAAGACGTCGATGTGTGCGATATTACTCTGTCAACCCCGCTTAGGCCCTTACCCGTCGCCCATTTACTCCTTAAAATATTGCACAATGTTGTAATCTTTTAACAGTTTGTGCGTGTGACGCATTTTCCCATACAACAGTCATTCCGAGCTTATGATGAGCTCAAAAGCAGGTACGATTGGCCGGCAGAGCAGTGCTGAATAGTGTCTACCGCGGGGACGACTCACGACTAATCCATGATCACTTATTTTCTATTTTCCCAGGGAAGTTTTGTCTCTCACGAAGTCGCCAATCTGGTTGGTGTCAAGCTCGGCCACTGCAATGTTCGCCATAATTCGCTAGCACAGCTAGCACGGACTATCCGAGAGGGATACTTGACGCAAATGAATATAGCATTTCCCCTCTTTTCCTCTAAGTCCCCGACACACTGCTTGCCCGTACCAGGGTCTAGTTAACCCAGGGCCTGTATGACCATGTGATATTTCGGTATATAACCCTTGAAACCCCCTCCCCAATCTCCACCCGATCCACACGCTCCAAGTTCCACAGCACGGTTCCAATTGTAGTTCCTTTCGTTCTTTGGAGATTCAATTTCTTCTTCTGCCGCTGCCCCTCGCACTGTTCCTCTTGGTACGACTCATCATGGATGGCATCTATGTCTCTCTTGCAGAGGAGTTGTCCCCGAATGGTCAGGGTATGGTGTGGAAGCACATGCGTACACATGACAGGTGTTCGATCAGTTCATGTTCCCTCGGCTGCCAGTTCTATGTGCTTCTCTTGAGGCCTGCGCTTTGCGGATTATTTCTTCCAACCAGCCTTCTTTACGGGGAAACAGGCTCACGCGGGTGACATGAACTGATGGTTCTGAGATTATACTGTCTGAACTTGATCTGGATAATTCCAGTGAAAGGACATGTGACGCTTGATATCCCGGCCCCTGATTTTTTTTTTTTTTTTTTCATTTTATTTTATTTTTAATATGCTGACTTTGATAGTGATATCTAATTGTTGAACTTGCATCGCGGCTGTTGTCATCATGTGTACTGACAGGATTACCTTTTTGACCAATTGGTAGGTTTTAAAACTAGCCATCATGAGAGCATTGAGTGGAAACCAAGCTGATGAGGGCTATCAATTGATGGAATTGCGTTAAAAGGCACGCCACTCCGTACCATATTCCCCTTTACCTCGCCCACTCCAAGGGATACTTCAAGGATGAGGGTATCAAGGTTGCTCTTCTGGAGCCCAATGATCCGTCTGACGTGACAGAGATCATCGGTAGTGGCAAGGTTGACATGGGTTTCAAGGCCATGATTCACACCCTCGCTGTTAGTGTACACTTCTTTTATTGTGGCTATACATACATGGTGATACACTTTTGATGCTCATAAGCTTATCTAGGCGAAAGCCCGAAACTTCCCCGTTGTTTCCGTTGGATCTCTTTTGGATGAGCCATTTACTGGGATTGTCTACTTGAAAGACAGTGGCATCACCACCGACTTTCGCACCCTGAAAGGGAAGCGGATTGGATACGTTGGTGAGTTTGGAAAGGTTTGATCTCCTGGATCTCCTCTTAAACGCCCGTTTCAGCAATTACTTATCCGAAATTTCCAGATCCAAATAGACGAGCTCACCAAATACTACAACATGTCTGTGACCGACTATACTGCCGTCCGCTGTGGTATGAACATCACCAAGGCGATTACTAGTGGAGAGATCGACGCTGGAATTGGTCTCGAGAATGTGCAAATGGTCGAGCTGGAGGAGTGGCTTGCCGACCAGAATCGTCTTCGATCCGGCGTGCAGATGCTCCGTATTGATCAGCTCGCTGAGCTCGGCTGCTGTTGCTTCTGCTCTATCCTGTACATCGGCAACGAGACATTTATCTCTCAGAACCAAGAGAAAGTCGTCAAGTTTCTCAAGGCAGTTAAGAAGGCCACTGACTACGTTCTCGCGAACCCCTCGAAAGCATACGAGGAGTTCGTGGACTTCAAGCCGATTATGGGGACGTCTGTTAACAGGAAGATTTTCGAACGCTCCTATCCGTTCTTCAGCAAGGATTTGAAGAATGTCCAGCGTGATTGGGAGAAGGTGACCAACTACGGCAAACGCCTGGGGATTCTGGACGCAAGTTTCGAACCTAACTACACGAACCGCTTCTTGACCTGGGATCTCGAGCCGGAATCTGCCGATCCCACGGGAGACCAGTGCCGTATGGCGGACTTGCAGAGGCAAGTTGCTGCCGAGGGAGGATTCAGGAGACTTGATGCTGCCACGGTCAGGGCTTGAACTACATTGTTTTACCAGTGTAAGTGATATATGCCCGTGTAATCAGCGAGTGTAGCAGCGGCTGCACCAACACCCGTTTAATAAATATGCTCTATAGTTTGCAAACTGAAATACAATATATTCATCGGATGTAAGACTTATTCAAAGTGGCAATGTAGCAGTAATATCTGGGTATGCTGTCTACAGGAGGACATATGGCCGCCATCTTCTTGAATAGACAAGTCCACCTGAACTGGATTGATACTGATAAAAGGCTATATTGCAATATGTTGTGGTACAGTGGCACAGTACATGAATGTGCTAAAACAATATAGAAGACAAGGCATGTATTTAGAAGTTAAGCCGTTTCAATTTTGATTTGCCTTCCGTCCAAACCCTTCTGTAATAGATTTGAAAAGGACGTGAACAACGGCTACCATGGCTTGCTCGGTCCTACTTCGCTTCCTCACACTTTCCCTGGCTTTCGCCCTGGATTTGCTGTTCATTGCATAATAAGTCAGCTTTCTATTCTTCTGCAAGGATTGCCATAGACAAAACAGAGTGTCGTAAGCAGCATTAGCATACCAGGCAGAATCCACTGTCGCAATTTCCCATGCTTCCATCCTTCTTGCACGGGCGTCCGTTAGGGATCTGGGGGAAAGCCAAATGTCAGAGGGTTTTTTTTTTTTTTTTTTTTTTTTTTTTTATTTTATTTTTTCATTACGAAAGGGGTCGTCATGAGAAAAACCATGTCTTCATCTTACCCCTTTTTGTGCGAGAGCAACGCCGAAGATGGCAATAGCAGCGAGTAGGCTGAGCTTCATGGCTTTTCGTGGGGGATATGAATTCGAATTCAAACGGGGGATTTGGAGGCAATGGACAGAGGATTCTGAAGTCAGATGTTGCTTTGAAGAAATTGTTTCAATGAAGGGAGCAGGAGGGCTTTTTATCTGAGCCAGCTGTATTAAAATTGCCTTTTTTTTTTTCCTTTTTTCTTTTTCGTTTTTTTTTTTTTTTTCTTTTACACGAATGGTTTCTGGGCTTAGGCAACCCGCGATGAACCCATCAACATGTAGAATCGCAGATCATTTTCGACGCACGCGGGTTGAGGCAACCTTGGAACGGAGGACGGGCGATCATTGTAAACTTTTGGTCGATAATCGGCTGGATAGTTCCCGGTCGATGCGCTGAATGCGGGCAGAGACCTCTGGCCTGACGTTTGACAGCATATTGCTGATCTAGGATAGGACGTCGCATCTCGACATTTTTGCAGCTAACTTTGTACCAGTCTTTGTTTAACTATCTCCAGCCCCTCGCAAAGCAAAGAGGAATAAACAATCGGAATCAGTGCCGCAATTGCGAGAGCCCGTTGATGCAGCACTCCCCCCGCGGAGTAAACCGCGGTGGGTGGCGTTCCTTTTTCACGGATTCAAAGCAAATAACTAGTTATCTCGAACACAAACGCAGGATTGAAACCTCCGGGCCCGTGTTGACGCCTCGAAGGCCCGTCGCGGGTTTGCCCATCCCTCATTACAAGTTGCTGCCAATGCCAAACCCCGGAGGTGGTATTACTCCGTGCTGTGTTCTGATCTTCTGTGGCGAGCAAGCCCTGTGGATCGTGATATTTCACGCTTAAGTGATCGTCAGGGGGAAATGCTCCTGCAAGAGCCAAACCTGCACGGAGGTAGTCAGTTAGCCCCGCGAGGCCTTGGACAAAATTGCTGCCAGTAAAATCTTGAAAGTGTCTTAATTTTGGAAAAGTCTGTAAATAAAGAACAGAGAGTGCTCCGGTAGTGGTGCTATATAACTATGTCTGATTCGGCACGGTTGGATGGCTGGTGGAATTTAAAATTAGCAGACTCTTTGAAACTCAGAGGAAGCGTGTCTGAAGATATATACGTATTTCTCCAGCCATTTCCCCTGACCTGACAAGCTGATTCATTTGCCACCTGCTCCCTGGTTTTCTCTTCTCTTTTTCTTCTTTCTCTCCTTTTCTTTCTCCTTTTCATTCATCGATCAGCATACAGAATGGCCTGGTTTTTCTCCCAATTTGGTCTTGCGGTGAAGCAAAAAACACAACGAGGCTTTTGGAAGTGCCGTTCTCCTTTCTCACCGTTTTGACCACTGGACGGTTGCATCCCGCAGACTCAGCCAAATATTGCCTGAACGAAGACACAGGGGACGGGGAAGCTTTGATAAGAGCTCATTAGCCGCAGGTCAAACGGCAGAGAACAATGAGTCTTAACTACGTGACTGAGCCGTTCAGAGGCATTGGTGTCAGCCTACCGCACACAACAGCAGCTAAATATCTCAAGAGCATTTTCGATGTACCAATGCAGAGAGAGTATGAAAATCTCAGTCTATTGAGTCCTGGGATACTTCACGACTACGAGAGTCCCCCGAGGGCTCAAACAATGGAAGGGATTCTTGCCCGACCCACCGAAACCTCTGCATTTCTACTGCTCCTAAGTCAAGTTCGAGCGTGTGAACATCCCAAATGACGGCGCGGGCTCACATAAAGGGGATAACAATTCCTAACGCAGGGAGGCGCTGTGAACTTTTGCTTGTGGCAAAAACCGTTTCCTCAAGGATCACCGGGGACGGGATCACTTCCCGCATTAGGACTTACCTGCAAAACTTACTTCTCGGAGATTCAATGACGCCTGCAAGAAAGACCCTTTGGTGGGTGACATGTTTGAATCCACCTGCAAAAGAAATACAGAGGAACAATAAGACAAGGCCTATTCCAGCCATTGCTGAATTTCATCGTCCCTTTTGCTGGCGGAGCAATTGATCGACAGCAAATGTCATTTCATCGCCTGGTAAAAAAAAAAAAGGCGGTACACGAATGTTGGGATAGTTCGATACCTCTGAACAAGACTTCGGGAACGTTGCAGACGTTGCCTCAACGTCTTCGACTGATTCGTCCATGATCGGATTATGCTGCTGGTCTTACTGACAAGCATTTTCCGAAAATTGAAATGGCAACGGTCGAATTCTCCTCCCTCGCGCACTCCTACAACATCCCCTCCTCCAAATACAGATACACATACATCTACTCCCCACTGGCCACCAGCACCGCTAATCCCACCATCCTTTTCCTTCACGGCTTCCCTTCCTCCAGCTACGACCGGCGCCACCAAATCGTCTACTTCATCGCACAGGGTGATGGAGTCTTTGTCCCCGATCTTCTAGGATATGGCCAACCTGGGACCGCACCCATTGATGGCGATGACAGCGTCAAACTAACGCAGCCAACAGAACTAGCAAACTACAAGGCATCCACTATGGTCGCAGATCTCATCTTATTGCTGGATCATGAGGAGCTATCAGGGCATGTGCATGCCATGGGGCATGACATTGGCTGCTATCTGCTCTCAAAGCTGGCAACGATTACCCCACGAGACCGGCCAGTGCGTGTTTCTTAAATGTGCCCTATTCTAAGCCCGGGGAGCAATTTAATGTTAACGCTATCAATGAGATGATGGTGAAGTTTGTGGGATTCGAGTGGTTTGGGTATCTGAATTTTTTGTGTCTGAGGGTGCTGCCGGGTTTATCGAGAAGCATGTAAGTATTGGTATATATATAAAGCTCATCTAATTATTTAACCGATACCTAGGTGGTTTCATTCTTTACGCTATTTTATCCCTCAGACGCGGATCTACGGATTGAACATCTTGGGCCAACAGGAGCTGTGGAAAAGTGGCTCAGAGAAGATCGCAAGGGGCTAATGGCACCCTATGTTACCGAAAAGGTGTGTATAAACATACCTCAATCACCGATTCGTCTCCGAAATTTCGTTCTCTGTGGATCTAAAATTAACTAGCCTTTCTTTGAATAGGAGAAGTTCCACCCACCTACAAACCATGCAAGGTCATTACCAATCTACTTTGATGTGATATCGGGCTCTCGTCTAGAACATCAATGTCGACGAGGGGATAGCGGCCAAGTTAGATCCAATACTCAGACAGCCTGTGCTGGTGGTTAGCTCAAAGCCTGGCCCTCTTAGCCCGCCCGGTGCAGTTGAGCAGATGAAGTCGTTCGCGGCGAATCTTACAGTAAAGCAGGTCAATGCTGCGGGACATCGGGTGCTGTTGGAAGCGCGAGATGAGATTAATGAGGTTTTACTGGAGGTTTTCGAGAGGGTGAGTTAGATAGACTTGGTATTCCTTGTGAGAAACTGGATGGTATGAACTGGCAAGTTTCTTCTCTGGCATTTCACGAGTGTCCCTTTCCTTGGTCGAGGGGTGAGGATAATAAAACTTTCCCCTTAGAACTTTTTTATCTAGTTACCTCTTCACACATTTATAACTGAATCGTAGTTGATCGTGACAGAAGTCGACTACTCAACTATATTATCCTATGCAAAACAGACCGATTGCCTCCGCAACCATAGCATTCAGTATAAAGAGTAAAGTCCACACTGCCACAAAAGCCCAGCCATGAAGCCCTCCCATCAACCACAGCCATGAGTTACAGATACGCCATCGAGCGGATTCAGATATGCCATATTCGGTCTTAATAGTTATAACATATAAAATAATCTCAACAACGAAAAGGAAAAGAAAAAAGACCCCTGAATAAAGGCTACGCTTTTCCCGTCGAACCCAGCAAATCCATAACCCTCTCCACCGGCTTCTGCATCGCCTTTGTCACCTCCTCATGCAAGACAGTTATAGGCACCTTGCCAGCCATCTCCTCCTGCACACGCATATATTCATTGTTCATGACCTTATTGATATTCACCTTCGACACCCCACACGCAATGCACTTGTCAAAAATCTCCTTCGTAAAGGGGTCTGCCCCATGCAGCACCAGCTTCACCTTATCCCCAACAGCCTCATTAATGCTCAGAAGCCGCTCGTACTCCAACCGAACCCCCCTGGGCCCATAGGAGCCATGCACATTCCCAAAAGCGGGAGCAAGCCAGTCAATCCCCGTCTTGACAAACTCCCCACTCTCCTCAGGCGTCGTTAGTATCCCTTCCAGGTCCACCGTGTCAGCCACGCCATCCTCGCCGCCTTCAATGCGTCCCGGCTCCGCCTCCGTGGCGATCCCCCGCTCATTACAATAGGCCACCAGCTCGCGGGTCAGCGCCAGATTCTCTGTCTTCTCATAATGGCTCATGTCAATCATGATACTATCAAATGTGGGTGGCGTTATATCCGCTGCCTTTTTGATTATCTCTGGCGTCTGGGCATGGTCCAGATGCAGAGTGATGGGGACGGAGGCGCTGCGGGCGGCGCTGGCGGCGGCATGCACGAGGAGAGCGTCGGCGTAGTGCAGGGCCCAGGGAAAGAGGAGGATCATGGCAGGCGAGCGCTTGGCTTCTGCGGCGCGAACTGTGGCGAGGATGCCTTCGAGGTTGTAGCAGCATATGCCTGGAATGGCGTATTTGCCGGCCACAGCGGCCTCGAGAAGGGGGAGGGCGCGGTTGGCTTTCAGAGTCATACCTGGGTATTTCAACTTTTTTGTTATATTCTTATTGATTTTGTCTTTCGTTTTATTGTCTAGTTTCCCAAGCGTTCAATTTGTATTTTGCATTGCTCTGATATAATTTGCGGAGGCCGGCTGCGAGTTGATTCTCTATTCTGAGAAAAGGAAAGCAATGGACATAGGATATTTTCATAGCCAATATAAAGAATAAATATACTCAAACCAAACGATAACTACATACATGAAAAAGGAAAAGCTAATGTAGGGCCAAAATTCAAATCTCGTACAACCTTGACCAGCAATTCCCGCCTTTTCTGTTGATGGGTGGAAGAAGAGTCGTCAAGACCTGGCCCTAAGGTGGGGTAAAAAGTCATAGTGCCTCCATACAGCCGTTAAATCTCTGGAGCAAGCAGAAGCCCGCTCTCAGCTGGAGAGAGTAACTTGGAACACAACTCAATTGAATTCAATGACCATCTACAGGTCAATGACGCGCCTCGGAGGACGATTCAAGGGTGCGCAGAGCAGCCCCATAACACCAGCAACAACCAATAAACCTCCAGACGCAGCAAAGGCCCATCCCTTTCTGATGAGTGAATGAAAATGGCATTTTGATACATTATTAGCGTGGACTTCCTTTTGTTGAAGGCTCTGTTATATATGTACAGACATGCAGTGAGACAAAAGGAAAGAAAACATGGAAAGGAAAAACGCACATTGCAGCAGATCAAAATAATAAACAAGAGAAGCTAAAACCTTAACAAGAAATTTGGATGAAAATAAACAAGATCTGTACATTCTACCACATGCAACTCACGTGTGCACGATGAAAGAACCCGTGACCATTTTTGCCGTTTGCTTTTCCTTTGAGCAGGTTCACGACAGCACAGTACACGCTGCCGCCAACTGCAAACAATAATGAAGAAAAAGTTAAGGCGAACAAACCAATGACGCAGCATAAAGGTGCTTGATGGCGCCACCAGCGACCCACCAACCAATGGAGCAGAGAAGGAAACACAAAACCAAAACGAAACGACTTCGCACTACAGGACAACGATCCCCTACGCAAAGGCCATCATCTTCTTGATTTCAGCAATAGCCAAGCCTGGATTCAGTCCCTTGGGGCAGGTTCTTGAGCAATTGAGGATGGTATGGCATCTGTACACGCTCATGCTATTGTCGAGGGCCGCCTTGCGCTCTTCGGTCTTCTCGTCACGCGAATCAGCTAGCCACCGGTAAGACTGCAGCAGCAGAGCAGGGCCAAGGTATTCTTGAGAGTTCCACCAGTAGGAGGGGCAGGAGGTTGAGCAGCAGGCGCACAAGATGCATTCGTATAGGCCGTCGAGCTTTTTGCGGTCAGCGGGTGACTGGCGGATTTCGCGACCCTGGGTTTGGTTAGCTTTTAGACTAATCTTATGGAATGTGTTAGAGCCGGGAAATTGGCATGTACATCTGGAGATGGAGTGTCACGTTGCAGGTATGGCTTGATGGACTTGTACTGCTTGTAGAAGTAGGTCATGTCTGGGACGAGATCTTTGACCACATAGGTGTGGGGGAGGGGGTAGATTCTCGATTCTTTGGAGGTGTCGGTGGGGATGCGGCCTGTAACCGTCAGTTCAGGTTCCAATTCTTATTCTTTATTCCGGCGATGAGATTGTGCTATCATCTCAAGGGGTAAGTGCATCCATACATAAGCAAGCCAAGGTATTGACGCCGTCGATGTTCATCGCGCAACTACCGCAGATACCCTCTCTGCAGCTCCTCCGGAAGGTCAGGGTGGGATCCTGCTCATTCTTTATTCTGATCAGGGCGTCCAGCATCATGGGGCCGGTCTTATTCAGGTCGAGAGCGTAGTTTTGCATGCGCGGTTTCTCGGTTGGCTTGTCGGGGTTCCATCTGTAGATCTTGAAGGTCTTGAGTTTTGGGGTTTGCGATGTTGTGTGGGTGGGCGATTCGGCCGTTTTCGAAGCGGATTCAACAGTAGCATAGGATCTGGAGGCTACAGAGGAGCGGAAAAGAGGGCGGGAGGCGGCCAGGACACGGGAGGTAGGGCGTAAGGAGGCCATGGTTGAGAACGGTTGGAGTTATCCAAGCCCAGCAGGGGGATTAGGGAGTGGAATCCGGGGCGATATTCCTGCTGCACCTTCTGTATGGTCACTTCTGCTGGTTCCTGAGGCCTGGACCAACAGTAACAGAATTGGTTGTCTTCTCCTTTTGCTATTCTCTCTCCTATCTCGTTCTCACTGTCTGCAGGGCAGCTAGTCAGTCGTGGCGATCGAAGGTTTGGAAATATTTCGATGTCCTTTTGCTTTGGAGCCTCGGAAGAACGAGTGGGCAAGCCGCGGTTATGTCAGCCACCGCGGCCAATCACAGTCCCGTGATTACCCAGACGAGAACTCCCGGGCGGGGGCAGCGGGCCAACTAGCCGCTTGCGTGGGTATTTATATAGAAGTGGACAGCGGACATTTGAATATCAAGATATTAAGCTATGTCCTCCTTACAAAACTGCTTCTGTCTCCCCGAAACATATAGTTGCATATTTATATCTGCTGCGATGTTTGAATTGAAAGTTGACCCGTATGAAGGGGCTGATGTCACATGACACACTGTTCTGCATGCCCTAATTTCCTATTCTGGCGTTGTTGACTTGGTCAGCGAACGCCTCCTCCATACAACGGACATCGCGAACGTTGTTGGTATGTTGAGATTGAGATGTCGGGCGTTTGCCTATGTATATATCTATACCCACTCTCATTGCAACACTCAGTGGTCGTTCTGTGACACTCACCACTCTTTCATCTTGTGAATTGATCATTTTTCTCCATTCACTCTTTACTCCACTTGACGTAGCCCCTGAGTCCCTGGCGCAAATCGGAATACTGCACCATATCCAAGAGATATAACGCTATAATCCAATTTAAACGTGAACTGGCTATTCATGAAGACAAGCCAGACAGGCCGCATTTCCATTCGACCCCCAGGCGCATGTAGCATCCTTAACGATTGACGTTAACAACCGCCCGCAGCTTGCGCGCAATCATTCTTGCCGCGACGGCTATTACGAAAATACAATTCTCCTATTTAATCGCCATATAAACGCACTCATTTAGCTACTCCTGACTTATTTGCTCATTCCCAAAAAAAAAAAAAACAGAGATGCCTCGATCAATCAGCACCGTCTCCTCCCTCACGCGCACCGTATCCTCCACCAGCCTCAAGAGTCTGCATGAAAACCCCGTGCCACTTATACCCCTGCAATTCCGCCTCCCCAAACCAGAACCCGCCACTATCAAACACATCAAAAACGGCAAAGATTCCACAGGCGGTGGCGTGCAGACCTCCATCTCTGAAATCCCAAAACGCAAACCCGTCCCCCCTCCCAAGGAATCATACCAAGATGGCCCCTCTCTGGAAAATGGCACTTGCAAACCCCTTTCCCCCTTTGAGCGTTTCAAGCATTCATTCGTCCAATTGAGGGCGGCATGGCCGCCCGCCGCTGTCATTAACAACTTGAAGATCGCAAATATCAAAGAAAATCTCCGCTTTAATGGAGATAAGAAGAAACAGCGTATGTTCCTTGGCGGTGTTATTGGTGCTGTAGTCCTCCTCGTCCTCATCATCGGGCTGGCGGCGGGCCTGTCAAAACAGAATAAGTATGATTCAGGTCTTGTTTGCTTCCATTCCTTCTTTCTTTTTCTTTCCATTCATTCGTGTAATATCTTCCCGTGCCAATTGGTCGCTCACACTAAGACAATCTTCCCCCAGATCCCCGTCCAACCTCCCCCTCCCCACCAACCACGGCGGTCCCTACACCGGCGACCTCACCTACTATGAACCAGGACTGGGTGCCTGTGGCATTGACAGCAAGTCCACCGAGGCCATCTGTGCCGTCTCGCACTTCCTATACGATGCTGTCAGCACGAGCTCGAATCCGAATCTAAACCCGCTGTGCGGGAAGAAGCTGCGGTTGAGGAGGGGTGGGAAGAGCGTGGATGTGACTGTTGTTGATAGATGTATGGGTTTTTGGCTTTTCGTTCTTCATTTTATCTGTCGTTATTTCGTTCCCTCGTTCCCTTGTCTGTTTTTTGTTTGCTGATTAATTTTATGTGGAATGTAGGTGTTGGATGTCAACCGACCGATATCGATGTGTCAATTAGTGTCTTTACGCAGTTGGCGCTGGAGGAGCGTGGCCGTGTAGATGTCGAGTGGGCGTGGTTGGAGAATACGCCTCTGCGGGTTCCAACGGGGTGGAGTTTTAGCGGGTAGTGTTGGCTCGCTGGCAGAGTTGAATGCTATGTATGGGTCAGGTGGATCGTTGGGAGCCTGGAATGATGATTTTTACATGAATGAGGTTATCCTTAGATGATAACCTTGTATTTCATTCCTTTTTCGCTCCGCTTTTGCGTTTGAGCGTTTGGTTAGGTATTTGTGTTTGTTATTTTTCCCTGAATAAGATACCCCCACCCCGCTTGACCCATGATTGATGGTTTCAGAACATGCTCATGCTCACGTTGTGTTTTACTCTGTATGAAAAAAAAAAAATTGCCTATATCATTTCTCTACCCTCTGGTCCGTAGCCTTGCTCCAGAATTCTCACAAACCAGTCAAGATGATCGCACCGTGATGCAATTGGTGTACCTTTTTCAATAATCAGGGAATTCCGCCTCAACCTCCTCCCTCCATGCCCTCAACCCACCCTTGATATCTCCCACCCACCTTTCCCCTCCCCTATCAACACCCAGCTCCTTCAGCTTCCGTACGACGACCTGCGAATCATTCCCAAGTCGACACACAACATGTATAGGCTTCTTAGACGATGCATCGAGGACTTGTGGCGGTAACCATGATGGGAGAGGTGGCTTTCTGTCTATATCTAAACCATTACACGCCGCCTCACGGGGGGAGTCGACGTCTGACGTGGCGCTAGGGGCCGACAAGATCTGCGACATGGGTATATTGATGCTTCCCGCCATCGCACCAATGCCATACTGCACCGCCTCCCGCACATCGATCAGAATCGGACTTTCCACATCTCCATCGCCATCTCCAGCTTCACCACCCTCCTCTAGCCCCGCCGCTGCCTGCGCATACCGTCTCCAATACTCTGTCGCCGACAGCCGCTCCTCGTCACCCAACAACGCCAGCGAACCCGCAAGACCACCGCAAAATTGGGCGTAGTCCATCGATCCGCCACGCAGCGACTCGAGCGTTATCGTCCCCGCGGCGGAACATGCGGCGCAGTCCACCCGTCGCGGGCGAAGTCGTACACTCCTAAACGGTGGGTTTGAGAAGGCAGAGAAGAGATGTAATGTTGGAATGATAGGTTGATGGTGCTGGCCTGCGCTAGGACTGGCGCTGTGGTTGGGATTGTCAGTTCTGGTGGGCTGGGTGAGGACACGGATCGTCTCGAGTGCCTGTAGTACGCCCATGACACCGACGACGGGACCAAGGATGCCGCCATCCGCGCAGCTGATTACGCTGGCTGCTGGGGGTGGTTTGGGGAAGATGCAGCGGTAGCATGGCCCGCTGACGGCGCTGGTGCTGGTGCTGGTGCCGGAGGATGGGTTGGCAGGTGGGTAGTTGAGAATCATCAGCTGGCCATCTGTGCGGAGGGCGGAGGCAGATATGAGAGGCTTGCGGAGCAGGACGGCGGTGTCGGAGATTAGGTAGCGGGTGGCTGGGTTGTCGGTGCAGTCGAGGATGATGGAGTAGGGGGTGAAAATTTCTGGGGCGTTCTGTGGGGTGAGGTGGGTGGGGTAGGGGATGTATTTGGGGTGTGGGTTTAGTCTGGGGGATTTTTTGTATCAGTTTTATGTTTGGAATAGGCGTGTAGTCACAAGTCATTGGGGGAGGGGGTTAGAATAACAAGACGCACTCCTTTAAATACTCAATCGCACTGTACACCTTGAGTTTGCCCACGTATTTCGTGCGGTGCAGCACCTGTCGATGCAGATTCGATGCCTCCACTGTATCCCCGTCGACAATCCCTAGAATCCCAACCCCAGCACCAGCTAGGTACAACGCAGCGGGACATCCCAGCCCACCCGCGCCGATGATGAGAACAGAAGATTCGCGAAGCTTCAGTTGTCCTGTAAATCAAAAGAAACATCGAATTAATATGGCCCTAGTTATGCACATTCAACTGTCGCTGTTCGCAAGCACCGTTCCACTTACCATCCAGCCGTATCTGATCGACGATCATCTGCCGGCCATATCGTCGATATTCATCCTGTTCCAGCGGATATCTTCGTATTCGTCCCTGGGGCAGTTCTTCTTCCTGACTCTCCTTCCCATCTTCCTGCTGACTTGCCGCTGCCGCTATCTCCGTCGCAATCTGCCGCTCTGTACGTTCGAGTTCGGCTTTTAGTTGGGAGAGCTGCACTTCGGTGGTTGCAATTTGCTGCTGGAGGAATTTGCGGGATTGGAAGAGGATTTTCATATTCAGTTGATCCCTTTCCGTAACTGCTTCTCTTGGTTTTGAGAAAGACATCTGTTCTCGAGGCCGCTTTAGGGCTCGGGGTGAGGCTGTGTCTTTTGTAAGGGAGGGAGGTGGTGGGGTTGAATCTGTAAATGTGCATTTTTTGATGATACTCGTAACTAGTTAACTGAACTTAAATGCTTTGCGCTGTGTCCGGATCCAATCTGATGAATTAACGATAAAATCGCTTCTTCACCACGCAAATCGATAGTCAAGCTTCTCAAAAGGATAAATTCTTCTGGTCGTTAATGCCTATACACTGCTTGCATTTCAAGTGCTAAGATTGCTGCTGGATTGTATGATGTTTCTTAGTTTATATTATCAGTTCAACGAGTGATCATACAACTTGACACAATAATGCCGAGTTTAAAAGTGAAAAAGCTGCCTTTATAGAGAAATCCAGCAACACGAAATTCAGTCTGCATTTAGTAACAAATTGTAGAAAGATAGGTTGCGGACTCCCGATATGGCGAACACCAGCGCGAATCAATTAAAATCAACGACGAAAAGCGCATAGATTTTCTACATTGGTTCAGCGATGCCAAATTTCGAGCACTCCAATGAATCTCCCGACCGTTACTTTTGCAGTGATCAACAGTTTCCCACTAAAGCGGTTTCTACTGTTGATATTAAAATTATTTTATAACGTGCAATTCCCAGAAAAATGGCCTCTAAATAGTTTCAGTCCAAGCAACAGCCGGATAAGAATCCTTCAGCATGGGAACTCCAGCTCGTTCTTCGATCATCTCTGCGTGTGGGCTCTGCATGTCATCTATGCCTCCATCCCGTGGAGGACTGCATGTCAAAGCGGCCACCTCAGCTGCATAGGGGATGGTCTCAGAGCGTAATCATAATAAAGCCGCAGACGCTGGATGTTCTGATTAGTTGTAGACAGGGACACAGGAAACCATCAAAAATAATGCGACATGTCCAAGTCCCATAACAAATGACGACAGACGTTACATGGAATGAATAAAGTCCTTTTGCTCCCTCAAAAGACTTTTTTTTTTTTTTTTTTTTTTTTTTTTTTTTTCTTTTTTAGAAAAGAAACGCAGACAATCTTTCATGTTGGCCTCGACCTCTTACACTCCGGATTCTGATCGATGGTCTGAGAAATGAAGTTGCGCAAAGCAGCCCACCGATTCGACGTCGATGGCTGAGTCTCTGCTTGTGTCTGCACCTGCGTCTGCGCATTGACTGCTGCATTCGCATTTGTATTCGTACCAGAAGTTATTGGGGGGACCGCCATCTGCGCCAAATTCCGGGCAAAGCGCTCTCTCTCCCTCCGATCCAATTTCTCCTTCCTTTTCATCGCACCAGGCTTATGCTTCAAAGTCTTCTGCCTAATAGTATTCACCTGGCTGTCAAGCATTTGTCTTTTATTGTTGGCAGGCCCATTCTTGTGGTGATGATTGAATGTGCCATTATCGTCACCATCACCGGCATCTGGGAGGGCATCAACTAGCGAATCAAGGTTGGCGATTAGTTTCTTCGAGGGACGTCGTCGTTTCAGTGTCTTGCTGCGGGATTTTTCGATTTTGGAGAGGAAAATGGAGTGTTTTATTTGACGTTTATCCCTTTTAGTTGTGCGAAAGGCATCTGGGTCTGTGAAAGGGCTGATATGGTTGGAGGGTGAGGAGGCAATGGGTTGTCTGGAGGAATTAGCTCGGGTGGCTGTGAGCTTTTGGGGGGCAATTGGGGCCTGTGTTGGGGTTTGTTAGAATCGAAAGTTGAAAGGAAGAGGGATTCAAGGGGTGGGCGATACCATAGTTATGGGATCTGTTGGAGAGTAAGAAGAAGGTTGATGATATTTTGAAGAGTTAATAGTTTCCTTTCTGCCTCTTGTTGTGACGGTTTCCAGAGGTTGGAGGAGGCTCACCTACTTCATTCTAGTTTAGTTAGTTAACTACCGCGGGATTAAGTTTGAGCTATCTCTATGTTTAGGCGCGCGTCTATGCGCTTACATATACCTCGAACAGTGCATACATTAAATGTAGCCATGTTAATGGGCGCTGGGATGATATCCGGCAGCTTTAAATCATGTACTCTTTAAGAGTACATTTATGGTTTTAACTCATGTATTAAAACTTCAACAGAAACTTGACTTTCACGTATTGCCACGGATTCGTCCTCAGTTGGGAAGTTATTTGCCAAATCGGAGACTGGACACGTGTTACCGCTTCTTACACGTATTTGACCGATAGCAAGCCAAGGTTATCACTCGTGGAGTCGCCGTGGGATCTCAGCTTCATGAAGTTTGTGGATGGTGTGTACCTAGACACGGGGAAGTTCGGGACCATAAACATTGGTTTTCAGTGGGACGTTGCTGCCTCCCAAAAGATGAGGAAGATTAAACTTCCTGTGCTCTGAAATCGGGTGTTCAAGGGGACATTTTTCCAGAGAGTAGATAACTAGGTATTGTTTTCTTGCCTGGACTTTCTCTACATTCGCCACTTGAGGATTGTCTGGAGATGTCTGATGCTGGGCAAATGAGCAATAGGTAGTAATTAATACAGCACCGATTGCTCATGTGAGGATAACTTCATCTGGAACCCAGGGTAGGTTCTTCGTACTGCTGGCAACTGGCACACGGGGTCCTCAAGGGCTAGATTCTAACTGTGGTTCAGTTGATACCTGTTGAAGACTCCCAGAATTGTTGGGAATATTTTTACCTGGAACTTTAGGCGTGCATATAGGGACTCGGAGGCCCAAACATACCTAAAGCATTAGTTAAAGATCTCTTGGGTAGAAACTAAAATAGCTTTAACTAGAAATAGCGGGTTTAAAGCCTAACGTTTTTCTTTTGTTAGGGGAGAGAGACTCGGCTAGCTATCCCCTGCGACGCCACATTTTGCCTCCCTCGCCGTCCCCTTCTGAGCCTGCTCTGCCCCCAGCCGAATATTTCTTGTCTCGGGAACTTTTTCTTTTTTTTTTTTTCTTTTTTCTTTTCTATAACTACCCACTCAAACGGCTTTTAACATCGTTATTCAAACGTTCCAACCCGCCGCTCTCTCTCTGCCCCATTATGTCCCCAATTCTTTTTAGTCCTCATTTCGATTCCAACTCCAATCTGACTCTATCGCGGTGCATGTACCCGATTCCTCGGCTACATCACTGTCATCTGTCTCCTTTGCTCCCCTTGTTACTGTTATCACGTCACTCCTCCTGTCAACTGCTCTCGCCGCTCCTCCTCGCCCGCCCCCAACACTTCTTTGTTCCCCTCTTCCAACCACAACGTAGCTCCTTAAATACAGCCCGTTCTGCTCACCGCTCCTCCTCCTCCTCCTCCCCCTTCTCTTTCTCCTCCAAGCGCCTCTCTATTTCCCGGTATCCTCGATTTTCAAGACACCCCCGAAATCTTGCCTTGTACATTTCATTTGGCCCCAATTATCTCACACGATCATACGCCATGACTCGTCTCGCACCCTACGGCAAGAGGCACAAGGTGACCGTGATAGGCTCCGGCAACTGGTGTGTTTGTATTTTAGAGAAAGATGCAGTTTATACCATACCTAACCTTCTTCTTACAGGGGCTCTGTGATTTCCAAAATGGTCGCTGAAAATGTCGCCGCCAATCCAGATACCTTTGAGCTAACCGTTGACATGTGGGTGTATGACGAAAAAGTGGAAGTGCCCCAAACCTCAAAACACTACGACCCTGCTTCCCCGCTGTGCGACGGACCGCAGAACCTCACCGAAATCATCAACAAACTCCACGAGAACGTCAAATACCTCCCCAACATCACTTTGCCGTCCAATCTTCGTGCCAACCCTTCCCTGGAAGAAGCCGTCAAGGGTTCGACTATCCTGATATTCAATTTGCCCCATCAGTTTATTCATAGTATTTGCGACAGACTAAAAGGCCACATCGTGCCCTATGCCCGTGGGATCTCTTTGTATCAAGGGAGTCAACGTAACTGAGGATGGCGTTAGTTTGTTTTCGGAGACTATCGGACGCACTCTGGGTATCTACTGCGGTGCACTGTCTGGAGCCAACATCGCAGGGGAAATCGCCAGGGAACTCTACTCAGAGACCACAATTGCCTACGACCCACCCCATATGGACTCCAAAGCCCCTACTCCCAAAACCATATCCCCCTCCCCCTCAATCGCCAACATCCCTAACGTCGTCCACTTCGAGCACAGGGACTCCTCCGGTCAGTTCTCCAAAGTCAGACTCCAGGCCCTGCCATCCGAATACCCCCCAATCGACCAGCGACTGATCAAAACCCTTTTCCACCGCCCTTACTTCCACGTCCGCGTCGTAGGTGATGTCGCCGGCGTCTCCCTCGGTGGCGCGCTGAAGAACATCGTCGCGTTGGCCGCGGGATTCGTAGACGGGATGGAATGGGGCGACAACGCCAAGGCCGCCATCATGCGCGTCGGGCTTCTGGAGATGGTCAAATTTGGAACCAAGTTCTTCTCCGCCTCGGTCAACTCGCAGACCTTTACGGAGGAAAGCTGTGGCGTTGCGGACCTGATCACCAGCTGCAACGGGGGCAGGAATCACCGCTGTGCCAAGCTGAGTATCCAGCGCGGACTGAGCGTTGAGGAAGTGGAGAAGCAGGAGCTTAATGGGCAGATGTTGCAGGGGACGTTGACTGCGAGGGAGGTTAATATGTTTTTGAAGAATAGAGGTTTGGAGGATGAGTTTCCGTTGTTCACGGCTGTGTATGGTGAGTGGATCTGTTTACTTCTTTTTCCTTTTTTCCTCCCAGGACTTGAATAGGAATCGCTGACTGCTCAACTTGGTTTATAGGGATTCTTAAAGGCGAGGTCCGCGTGGAGGATCTGCCCGGCCTTATTGAGCGGTGAATCAAGAAAGATTGAGGATTCTTCGCATGATACCCATATTTTAATGCATATGATCCTCATGACCTACGACGCGTTGTGATTACTTCTGATCCTTTTTTTTTTTTTTTTTTTTGCCGTATAATTAGGGTGATACCCCGCTTCCCCACTTGGACGGTTGAGTATATATATACCCACAAAAATTGATAAAATTGTTGATATTTATATTTAGCTTTGTATATTGCTTTTTATGTGGGGAAGTCAACGCTGTGCTTTCTATTCTAGCTACTCTTCTGTTGTCCCTGTTTTGCAAAACTGGTGTTTTAAAAGAGTTGAACCTCTTGATCTTCATACACAAGGCGTTGATAATTAAATGATATTAGGCGAGACGGGGTATTTCTTCAGTTAAGAGACAATAAATGGGCGGCAAACTGTGACTAGAATCATCAATTTTATGAATAACTCGCTATCACCGGGATGTTTTTTTTTTTTTTTTTTGAAATATTTTACAAAGAATGTCGAGCAGCACCTGTTCATAGAAGATATACATCCCCTTGTGGGTTTTCCGTGTAGATTGTACCTGGCATAGATCAAAGTTCTTAGTCTGGTTAGTTAGGTAAATAGTTAACGGGCGGTCGATGATGTCAGCACCCCTAACTAGTTAGTTACGTTAACTATCTACCAACACCATCCAACTCCTCTGGGATAGGAATAACCTTGGTTGATACCTTGATTTTATCACCGGCAACTAACATGGCATATGACATTTAGGGAACTTACCATTGCCCGGCTAGCCTTACACACACACATATATATGTATATATGTTGTACTCTATGTACAAAAACACCAATTGCTCTCCCCCCTGTGCCACTCCTCACCATCCCGCCTCTAATCTCACGACGTATAGAGGACAGATATACAGACGAATATCCGCAACAATTCTGCCAAATAGCGATTATACCCATAACATAACCAAATGTCACCCCCTTGTGCTTCTGCGCCGAAAAGGAGCCAGCACGAGGTCTACATCCTCCCTCTCACCGACGATGGCGCTCCGGACGTGGCCCACGGATACGTTTCCTTGCCGCATCCTACAGATCCCCCATATATCCTCCGCTTTGTCATTGAGGGGAGCAGCGCTGTCTGCCGACAGGGAAGGTTATGGGTTAATATCCCTCATCTTGGGGCGCGATTTGAGAGGGAGTTTTTTAGGGAATATCTGTAGGGCTATCTTTTTAATATCCATTCAGATATAGCCGTTGCTACTTCAATTTGTCTACATGTTCTTCATGTGAAGGCTTTGAAACTGACTGTGTTGAAATAGACTAACACCCTCCTTTACGCACGCAATTCAAATCGACATACCAATAACCACCCCTGGCGCCTTTGCCTTTTACATAACCTACTCTCCACCCCCGGAGCTACCAGTAGCCACTTTCCCATCCCCAAGACAGATACAGGCGCAGGACCCAGCCCAAGTCCAACTCCGCTCCCCAACCCACTACATCAATGTCGCCCCAACAATCTCTCTTAACAACCAAACCCTTCCTCTAGCCTCCGTCTCTGTAATCTCACTCCTCTCCAAATTTGTCGGCCCAAACCCCTCAGACTGGAACAAGCATCTGCTCAGCATCGCCCGTCGCGGCTACAACATGGTTCACTTCACACCGATCATGGCCCGCGGCGAATCGAACTCGCCATACAGCATCGCGGACCATCTGGCGTTTGACAGATGCTGCTTTCCCAGTGGCGAGAGCGACGTTGCTAATATGGTGTCACGCATGGAGAGTCAGTATGGTCTCTTACCACTTACGGATGTTGTCTGGAATCACACGGCGAATAATACAGAGTGGCTACAGGAGCACCCAGAGGCTGGGTACAATGTGGAAACTGCTCCGTGGTTGCAGGCGGCGGTTGAACTGGATGATACGCTCTTGCGCTATTCGGAACAGCTGGGCCAACTGGGGTTACCCACGCAGTTTGACAATGTCAACGATTTGCTCTCAGTCATGAATCAGATGAGGGCCAATGTCATTGATAAGATTCGTCTGTGGGAGTTTTATGCTGTTGATGTTCAGCGCGATGTGGAAGCGACGATTCGGGCGTATCAGAGCGGTGATGTGAGGATTCCCGAGGGCGGGTTTGGTGACCATACTATCGGAGGCTTGGGAGAGATTAAGGGGTGGAGTTTAAAGGAGAAGGCTGGGTTCTTACGCGATCGGGGTTTACTTAATAAAGATCGGCTTCTGGGGCGGTACGGACGGGTCGTTGAACCTGCTGTGGCTGCGGCACTGCTTACAGCACTCTATGGCCGTTACGACGCAGAGTCTTCCGACATCCCGCATATTCGCAGTGACCTTTCTAAGATCTTCGACGAGGTTAATCTCCCACTCTTCCTTGAGTTTGATAAAGATGTCCTAGAGATCTTCGACCAGCTCTTCAACCGCATCAAGTATCTACGGCTCGATGAGAATGGGCCGAAGTTGGGGCCTGTTACGAAAGAAAATCCTCTGATAGAAACCTACTTCACGCGCCTGCCACTGAACGAGAAGACGGCGAAACATAACCGGAATACGCTTGCCCTGGTTAATAACGGGTGGGTATGGAATGCGGATGCCATGCGTGACAACGCTGGGCCGCACTCCCGAGCCTATCTACTGCGCCAGGTCATTATCTGGGGAGACTGTGTCAAACTCCGTTACGGCTCGTGTCGGGGCGACAACCCGTTTTTGTGGGACTATATGGCCAGCTATACAAAACTGATGGCGAAATACTTCTCTGCCTTTCGCATTGATAATTGCCACTCCACCCCGCTTGCTGTGGCTGAATATCTTCTCGACGAGGCGAGAAGGGTTCGTCCCAATCTTGCTGTGTTTGCGGAGTTGTTCACGGGCTCAGAGGAGATGGATTATCTCTTTACGAAACGGCTTGGGCTTAACGCGCTGATTCGTGAGGCGATGCAGTCTTGGAGTACTGCGGAACTTAGTCGGCTGGTGCATCGACATGGTGGTAGACCCATAGGCAGTTTTGATATTGATTTGCCGACTGATGATTTCCCGCGGGAGAATGGTATCAATGGCGGTAACAATGGCAATGGGAAGAATTGTGGGGCAAGATGTGAAACTATCAAGCACGTCCGCGAAATCCCGGTCCAGGCGCTGTTTATGGACTGTACTCACGATAATGAGATGCCTGCACAGAAGAGGGAGGCGAGAGATACCCTCCCTAATGCCGCGCTGGTGGCAATGTGTGCCTCCGCCTCCGGGAGTGTCATGGGCTATGATGAGATATACCCGGCGCATCTGGATCTTGTGCAAGAGACGCGGCGGTATTCTTCCGTGGAACCCTCTGAGGGAAGAAGTGCGGATCCCTCTGACAAGCTTAGTATTGTTGGGGAAGGGGGTATAGGCGGCGCGAAGAGGTTGCTGAACGACCTGCACACGAAAATGGCTGTTGATGGTTATGATGAGACCCATATTCATCACGATGGGGAGTATATAACTGTCCATCGCGTGCAGCCAGATACGAGAAGGGGTGTTTTCCTCATTGCCCACACGGCGTTCCCAGGGGCAAATGGTGGGGCACTTGACCCTGTGTGTCTTACGGGGACGAAGGCAAAGCTCATCGGTGCGTGGAGGTTGGAAGTTGACGATTCGGATAAGGCGAAGGAGGCTGTTTTGGGGGATAAGGAATACCTGAGAGGTTTACCCAGTCAGGTTATTAGTTTGGATGGGGTTCTAATTTCGGATAAGGAAGATTGTACGGTGATTTCGATGCCGCAGTCATTCCCGTCTGGCTCTATTGTGTTGCTGGAGACGTGGATTCCTCGTGCGGGTTTATCGCAGGAGTTGAGTACCTTTATTACGACAGGAGCGGTGGAAGCGTTTCAGAAACTTGACCTGATCGATCTTAATTTTGTCCTTTACAGATGCAATGCGGAGGAGAGGGATTCTAGTGACGGTAAGGATGGCGTTTACAATGTCCCCAATTTTCGGTCCGCTTGCCTATGCTGGTTTGCAGGGCTGGGTGGGAGTGTGTTTGGAAACTATTGTCAAACATGATGGATCTTGGGTCATCCTCTGTGTGATCACCTTTCGAACCGGGCAATGGGCACTAGATTTCATTGTTGGACGAATGGAGAGAGCGATCAAGTTGCATGGATATGAGCGTCTACAGCTTCCAACTGCATGGCTACGAAAAACGTTTCGATGTGATTCGCAAGGGGCCTAATTTCTTCCTAACAAGATACTTCTCATGGATCGTGCAAACAGCCTACTAC